TGCCCCAGCAGTGACATCAGGATCAGGCTCCTGCAGCCACCATGGCAGAGGTGTCACTGCCCCGATATCCCCGGGGAAGGTGGCCACTGCTGGGATCCTCTCTCCAGCCATTGTCTCTCAGTCCTGGAAGGGTCAAGCACGGTGTCCAGCTGGTGCCTCAGAGTGTGGCTGGGGTAGAGGTGTGTGGGAATTCTCAGGAGTTGAATTCCCAAGCTGGAGTTGCTGCACTTTGATCATCCTTGCGGTGGATTCCTTTCCAACTCAGAATATTCCATGGTTCTGTGGAACGGGACTGCTCAGGCACCCATGTGAAGTAGGTGACTTTAATCCCTGCTTAAATCTGCATTTCCAGATGATGGAAAARTCTGGGATACTCTTAAGTCTTTTAAGCAGGGGTTGAGGGCACATTTTGGGAGCTGTGGGGGAAGGTAGACCAGTGTCTAAGGGTGTAATGTATTAATTTATATAATTCTTCCTCTCTTAGCATGCACTGGAGGGATTTTAAATACTATCAGGGAAATTACGATGACAGAAAGTTCATTTTCCATTGTTCTGTAAACCTCTTTTTTTCTTTTTCAAATGCTKTCAGAGGGCACTGATACAAAATCTGGTGTTGCAGTTAAGATCCAGAATTCCCTTGGAATTCAGTGGGGAGCAGTTGATAATCCTGTTGTGGTTGCACAGCACAGCTCTATTTTTGATTTCCCAGTGTGCCACCCAGTAAATCCCTTTACAGGTGATGTTCCTGTGTGGGAGGTGCTGCACATCCCGCATGGAATGGCCTCATCCGGAGGAGCTTGAGGCTTGTGTGGAAAGCAAACAGGAGGAAGTGGTTTAGAAAGTTCAGCTGAAGCTGAGTTTATCTTCAGCAAGGCTCAGTTCAGTGCAAACAAGTGCAAGATYCCACCTGAAGGAGTTCCACCAAAAGGGAATTGGATTGGTTGTACAGGGAAAGCCCCGTGTGATTTACAGTGCTGGCAGATGCACAGGGCTGCACTGAAACTCTCCTTTAAAATTCAAACTTTTACAGGGAGCAAAAATAACTAAACTTAGGAAATGCATTTATTTGCTGCATTAAGCATCTCGCATTTGTARATRTGGTTTATTTCTACGCTTTCRATTTCTTGAATTGGAAGCCAGGCTGCTAAAATGCGTTTAAACTTCATATCCAAGAGTGCCAGCAGCTTTATTTTTTTCTGTGGCTAAATCCTCTGATTAGTGTGTTGGGCACTTTCTTTTTTATTTTTTATTCCTTTTTTTTTTCCACCATGCAGGTCATCTTAATGTGACTATGGTGTGGCTGAAAGGAGATCTCGAGAAGCAGAGGGTCAAGCATGCGAGATTGCTACAGCAAAATAAAAATTACTGAGGACTACTTAACCAAAATAAAGTCTTACTCTTTTCATAATAAAATGGCACCTGTTGCTGCATTTCAATATGTGAAAATAGACTTGTTTCTAGCTTATTTTTTAGAGGTTACTTTTTTTTTTTTTTTTTTTTTTTTTTACTTTGTCTCTCATTATTTTCCAAACCTTTTGGAATTGCCTTTCACCTTGCCATGTCCTTTTCTGTATTTTTCATTACAATCACTTCCTGGAAAAGCCCTCTGAGATCACGGGGTCCAAGCGTTCCCCAGCACTGTCGAGGTTATCGCTACCCCGTGTCCCCAAGTGCCCCATCCACAGCTTTAAATCCGTCCAGGATGGGGATTCACCTCTCCCKGGGCAGCTGTGCAGGGCTGGACAGCCCTTGGGGAAGGAATCTGCCCTGGTATCCAGCGTGGCTCCTGTCACCTGCTTTGGACGGGGTTTTGTGGGACRTGGGATGTGCATTTAGGGTTTCATGGTGTTCCATAGCACGTGCCATCCATTCCTGCTGTGCCAGGAATCCTCTCCTGCCTGGATTTAGTGCTGTCCACCAGAACTGCCCAAAGAAATGATCCCTCCAAAAAGCCCTTCCAAAGGAAGCTGGTGCTTCTCTTCAGCTCGAGCAGAGTGTGGAACTCGCGGTGTGTAAAAACTCGCAGTGTGTAAAAACTCACAGTGTGTAAAACTCGCAGTGTGTGAAACTCTCAGTGTGAAACTCAGTGTGTAAAACTTGCAGTGTGGAACTCGCGGTGTGTAAAAACTCTCAGTGTGAAACTCGCAGTGTCTGAAACTCGCGGTGTGTAAAACTCACGGTGTGTGGAACTCGCGGTGTGTAAAAACTCGCCGCTGAGTTCCCGTTTCTCCAAGGAGCACTCAGGCTGAGGCTGTGTCGGGAATTGCCGGCGTGTCCCAAGAAATCCCTTCCAATTGCTCGGCTGAAATGGAAAYAAAACCAGGCTTTATGGCTGATTCTGTGTTCTGGGGGAAATCAGATCCCAGAGTTTGCAAAGTCACTGCTGTGCCAAAGCCCTGACCCACGGCAGCAGATCCCAGGGCTGGAGCACTGCTGCATTTCCTGCCTCCTTTTCTGCATTTAGTGTTTTGCTAGAAGCTCATTCAGAATTAAGCACTCAGATGGGATTTAAAAATGAAAGTCAGTTTACTGTTCCTTTCCCATGTGTGAGTGAAAATCGTGTACAATCTCTGAAGATCATTCATTATCTAGAAGGGCTTGATTGGATCAGGTCTGTGTAATTTGATCATGGCAATTCCAACTCATTTTTTTTCCTGCTTAATCCATTTTTTCCCATGGAATCCTTTTAATGAAGAAACATTTTATATATTCAGCAACTGTAAGGCAGAACTTAAGATACTGTCCTTGTCAATTTGAAGAGTTTCTAAATACAACTTGTCAGCCGTGGCAGTTCTTCCTTGTGGATGATGCTTGATTTGGTTGGGTTCAAATGTGATGTGAGAATGAAATCTCTTGATTCATGCACTTGTTCTATATTTGCTTTAGTAGTTCTAAATAGGGGCTCTCAGCAGAAAAAGGACTTTCTGAAAATGGTTCCTTCTGCTTGGTGCAACCTTTTTTTTTTTTTTTTTCATTTTTAGGAAAATACCTGAAAGAAAACCCCTTCAAAAATTGGGGAGAGATTTGCCAAGCCATGCAGGCRTCCTAGGGATCGAGGATGTGATAAAGAGAACAAACTGCACAACAGGATAAAACAGCTGCAGAGGGTGCCCAGAATCTGTTGTGTAATTCTAGTTTAATATGCTGGCTGGCTTGGAGTATAARGATCATTCTAGAGAAGTTGTTATGTCAGATCCATTTCTGTTTTGGTTTGCTGGATATTTTAAAAAGCTGYAATTAGTTCTGTCAGCTTAAATATTTGGTCAGCAAAATACGGCTTCAGCATAGGAAGGTGCAAAACCACAGCTGCTGTTTATTGGGCACACTTCTAATTTGGAATGTGTGTTGATCTTCCACTAAAAAAAGCGGCTCTAAAAAAACTCAAAATCCAAAGCACTTATTCTTTTCTCTGGAGTAATGTTTTTGCCCAGCCCTCTGCGGTCACCTGGGATTTTTTGGGAAGGTWCACATCAATTCTGCCTTTTGGGGGTTCAGTGTTAAACTTGAGGTCTCTCATGTTTCCCCAGCATTGCTTGGAGGAGATTATTCTGGTTTAAGTTATGATCTACGTGTATTTGCATCAGAGGTGACAATAGTTTTTAATTCTCAGCTCCTCTCCATTTCTGCTCCAATTCTCTTGCAAACATAGGAGTTGTGGTGTATGTTTTTCCCAGATCCTTCATGTGTGACACGGTTAGGACCATTTTCTCTGGAGATGGTAACTCTGGTAAAGCTGAATTTGCAGGCGTATGGCTGAGCAGATCTCCTGGAATTGCTCTGGATAGTGGAACCTCAAACCAGCAGTAACTCAGTGGGAAAGTCTGACTGCAGCTGAAATGCTGCACTGTGAAAGGGAGATGGAATTYATTTTCACTAACTGCACATCCTACCTATCCAAAAGCTGGAGAAGGGAAATCATCCAAGCTGTGGGCAGTTCTCTCCATCTCCAGAAAGCACCAGAACTGGGGTGGAGAGAGAGAGTGTGTGATCAGGGCTGGCATGGCTTCCAGGGGAAAAATTAAGTTTTGAATGTGGCATTTTTTCCTCGATAAGAGAATGGGATTAAGCTGAGGCAGTAAAAGAGATTAATATTTTCTGGATTTATGTAGGTGTGTGACATACCATTTAATTGAAATTTGATAAAAAGTCTGGAAACCCACAGGAGGGAATTGAGTCCATTCAGGGGGTGGCTGGTTTGTACTTCATATTCTAGAAATACCAGGGGAAAGAGAAATCAAGAAGCTGCTTTGAATGTTCATTTCTATTTCTTCAGGAAGCCAAGARTTATGAGAAACTTCTCCAAGAGGGRCTTTTGTGCTGTGGAGGTCTCACCYCTCACGCCCATGCTCGATGGGAATATTCTGTGCTGCCTCCCCCAGAGGAGCTGAAATGCAAAAACATGGTTAAAATGGTGCACTGTTACTCATCCTGATCCTGGGCTAGAACTGAGCCTAATGATGCCACTTCCAAAATTAAGCACTACTCTTTTAGCTTTCCCGAGTAAATACCAGCCTGAGGAACAGATTCTTCATCAACTGAGTCATCAGGAAAATTCTGATTGCAGAGCCTTTTGTTGGTGATGGGGCTGCAAGGAGAGGGCACAGCTGCACCTTCTGAAGGAAACAAAAAATAAATGGATTTGTCAGCTGGRCACCTTTGAGTCTGCTTTGTAGGATGTCCCAGTACAGATCCTCTGTGTTACCCCGGCAGTTTGGGGCAGTTTGTTCTCTGAGGTGTGGGTTCAGCCTGGCATTGGTGCTGCAGGAGCAGCTCATTTGGGGAGGGATTTATTTCACTCTCTGTGAGTACCCAGCAGCAAACTGCAGCAGAAATTAGCCTTATTGTAAAGGAGATGGGGATATTGACTGTGATTCACGGTTTGGAAATGTGTTCCTGGGAAAACAGGCTGTGTTTTGTGCCTCTGCTCAGGTATTATCCCCTGGCTGTGGCAGGAAAATGCCATGGTAAACAAGAGGAGCAGAGCTCTCAAATGGGGTGGTTCCTGGACATGACACTGCTCAGGTATTTACACCTGATGTCTTTCTAAACAAGAGGAGCAAAGCTCTCAAATGGGGTGGTTCCTGGACAGGACACTGCTCAGGTATTTACACCTGATGTCTTTCTAAACAAGAGGAGCAGAGCTCTCAAATAGGTGGTTCCAGACATGACAGGGCTCAGGTATTTACACCTGATGTCTTTCATCACCAAAGTCCACTGTCCTGGGGTGGAGGTGTTCCACCAGCCTGAGTCTTGTGCAGTCTTCTTGTTACCATCCTTAATTTACTGTAGATTTAAAGATTCAACCTTTTATTTGGAGTAACTTCAGCCTTTTGGACTCATTACCTTTGACTCGTGTTGCTGGGGTACAGAGCMTCCTTCCTAACAAAGGATTTTTATGGTGGGATATTTTCACATTCCCAGGCAGCTTGAGGAGTGTCTGTTGGTTTTTTAAACGATGCTATTCTTGTGGTSCTTTTACTTAACTGAGGTAGGATAGGCATGGAAATATAGAATTAATTAATTTGGTCTTGTTCTTTCCCTTCCYTTCACAGTCCTGRTGYTGCCCTACCTCTGGTGTTTAAATATTAGATCTCTTTACAATATGTGAAAATTTTAAATACTAGATCTCTTTACAAATATGTGAAAATTTTAATTGTARCAATAAATTCCAGGAAGTTTGAGCTGTAATTACGACTTGTGTGAAGTTAGACCTGGTGGGTTTGATTTGTTCTGGTCCCACAGTGTTTGCAGTTACACCACACTGTTCAGTTTTCTCTGTAGTTTTTTCTGCCAGGCACACAGCCTTTGGAACAGGCTGACTTTCTATTTGAATGGTGCTTCTTTGAAAAATTAGGGGAGGTTTCTAGGAAAGTTGTAATCTCATGCCGAGTAGTAGGTGGTAAATTAGTAACCTTCAATAAATTGTTGACACTCTGCCTTTCAACACTCTGGGTCAAGGTGACTTCTGAGAGCAACATAATTTTTTCTTTTTAAGTTATGATTCATGGGCTGAGTCACAAATTTAGGATGGCTTCCTGTGTTCAGGCCCCCGAGTGCTCCCAGCCACGTGAGGGTCAGGTTTGCTGCAAGGCCAGAGCAAAACCCTTCAATGCAATGATATTTAATGGTATTTAATGGTATTTAATGCCTTTTGACTCTGACTTTTGCAGCACCTGGTGTGGGTCATTGCAAACTCAGAGGTTCTGCTGGGACAATACCACTGTTGGGTTTATTTACCCTTGGATTGGGTCTGGGTAGTCTAAATCACCTTTGTTCAATCTTCCTTGGAATTACTTGATGAGGAAAATGCTCTTTTCTGTTTCCACTACATTTCCTCAATAGGAGCAACAATGAGGGAAGGGAAAAAAAGGAGGATTTCCTCGTGACAATAAAATTCTGAATATTGTTTTATGATGGGAATTTCACTGATGCACCGTTTGCTTCCAGTCCTGAACTGTTGTGTAACACCAGCATGTTCTCCTCAGTGAAAGGAGGCCTGGGTGCCAATTTCAGTGGAAGATTTTAAAAATAACTCTTTCTTATGGAAGTTTTTTTTGTCTTGCAGCCCGGGAAGAAAGCGTGATTTTTCACCAGTGCTTTGGAGCCAGTACTTTGAGTCCATGGAGGACGTCGTGGTGGAAGATGACACTGGCAAGGATATATCCTTTTTTTGACATTGTCCTTGTCAYAATCTCAGAGACTGGGGAAGGATCACATTTTGTTTCGTTTATTGGGGTTTTCGTGTATTTTTTCTCATCTTCCATGATATCTCTGCAGGCTTCAGTGGCAGGAACTGGAACTGTCCCTTCTAAGCTGAAGTTAAACTGTGCCTGGCATTGTACACAGTTCCTGACTGTGCTTCTTTAGTAAGCAGCAGTTCCAAAGAAGTGTTTCCAGCACTTCAGTAGCAGACTTTGCAGGGAAACACTCACCAGGTTCCCATAATTCAAACCATGTCAGGACCAAAGCTGTTTATTGGTTTTTATGAACTACAGTTAGTTAACTGGCAATCAGGGAGCTGTCTGCTCAGGGTGAATAGCACAGTACAACTAATAAAAACTGATAAACCTCAACAGAAACAGTAGATGGGAATAAATACTTCCAAATTTCTGGTCAAGGCAGAGGTGGTGATGCCATCAGTGCCTTCTGGCAGTGTCAGCCAGAGATTTTTTACAGCTGTTTCCTCTCCAAGATCAGGAGAGCCATTAGGAGAACCACATTTCCAAGTTACTTCTCACCAGACACATGGGAGGGGTGAGATCTCTGCTCAGTGCCTGAAACACAAAGGACAAATCACTTCATCAGCTGGGGTTTGTCCACGAAGGGGATGTGCTGGAGTTCTGACAGCTCCCTGGGGCAGAGCAGTGGGCACCAACCCAGCCATTAATTCAGCTGCTTCCACAGTTCACTCCTGGCCACAACCTTTCATATTTCAGCTGCTTCCACAGTTCACTCCTGGCCACAACCTTTCACATTTCAGCTGCTTCCACAGTTCACTTCTGGCCACAACCTTTCATATTTCAGCTGCTTCCACAGTTCACTCCTGGCCACAACCTTTCACATTTCAGCTGCTTCCACAGTTCACTCCTGGCCACAACCTTTCAGATGGGAGCTCAAGCTTCTGCTGAAGGGAGCAGAATAAACCCTAAACAACTGAGATCTGCTGGCATTTGGGATGCTGCCACACACAACCTATCCAAACAGCTCTATTACACTTTTTATTTTCTATTAAACCCCAGGGAAGTGTATGGGTTCATCCACCTTCATCAAATGTGGACAAGGTGCACACATGAACCCTGGAATCACCCAAGCATGGTTTGGGTTGGGAGGGACCTCAAATCCCATCCACAATCCCAGATTGCTCCATGCCCCATCCCCGGCCTTGGACTCTTCCAGGGCTTCTCTGGGCATCCTCACCCTTCACAGGGAAGAATTTCTTCTCAATATTTAATCTCAATCTCCCCTCTTCTAGTTTAAAACCATTCCTTTCTCCTCCCATTATCTGCCTGTGTGAAAAACAAGACTCCAAAATCCATCCAGGTGCCCTGAGGTGACTCAGTGAAATGTCCTTAACTGTTCGTACACTTTTCGAATTTACAAAAGCGGCTCCGAGGGCCCTGTCCTGCTGCTCTTACATGGGGGAGGCCACTCTGCCCTGTCCTGGGCTGTGTTCACTGTAAGTCAAGCTGCTGCTCTGCTCTGTGGAAATGGAAATGTGTGGGAAAGGAGCTGTGTGGTGTGAGGGCAGTCACCCATTCACCCCTGGGAAACACAAAAACAGCATTGTGCAAGAGCAATGGTATCTTTGGGTGCTTGGGGTTACAGTTTGGGTGTGTAGGCACCTTGCACTTGGAGGGTTTGGGCTGTGTTGAGGGGCTGCAGAATCCTGATTGATGGATTCAGTGGGTTTGGGGAGAGCAGCTGCTCCAATCATTTAAGAGTTGAATGGCTGAAAAATCCAAAGAAGAGGACTGGGGAGCTCTGAGGTCTGGGCAGCTTTTGCCAGTTGTGTGGGTGGTTCTATTCAGAATCCCTCAGCAAATTCCCCCAGTCCTGCAGGGCTGTTATTTAAATAATCAATGATTCCTTAACACAGAATTCTTCCTGTCAACAAAACATGCCACTTCATCGCTGTGATGCCTGAAATAACTGAGTTAAATCRATCTGTCAGGGACAAACAGAGCCTAAATCGTGTTGCAATTATTATGCCATGCCTTACCTTAAAAAGATTCCTCATTTGTTCCCCCTGACCTCTTTGGAATCAATTTTTATCCATTTCAGCCTGTAAAATTCTATTCTTTGAGAGCAAACTGAACRTGTACTGCAAAGCAGCTGCTGCAGCTCCATGTCAGCCGAGGAGCCAGGAGTGATTCTGTGCCCTGAGGGGC